ATTCATGGGTGATATTCGGGTATAAATCTGGAGATGTGAGCAGCTGTGCAGCAGAGACCCTTGGATTTACTGTAATTAATATGAAGGAGGGAGGGACTAAGTCATTACGGTTTCCTTTAATTTCCCAGTGGGCCCAGCAGCAACAAATAGGTTACATTTAAGTGATCTCCAGCTTGTCTTAAAATTACTCGGATTGTGCTGCCTCCCAGGGCATAGAACGGCAGATGTGTATTAAGGGTAATAAATTAGATGGAAATGTGCTGATGAGTCGTCTTCTTCAAGATCAGGGGTTAAATGGTAGTGAAAATGGGATCTATCTATCTATCTATCTATCTATCTGCTGCATGAAGCTTGCCAAAAGCTTTGTAAATGCTTAGCCAAAGCTTATTGGACATACTGGACATTATACATTATTCACAATTAAGCTTTTATTAACAAGGCCTTATGAAAATGGGTGTTTTAAAAAACAAACTTTAAATATTTCCATGCAAACAATGCAAATTTGTAAATATATTTTTTTCATTTCTCTAGCTATCCCTGGAGAACTATGCTGGGATCATCTAAGGTCCTGCCAATTTGAATGTCCATCTATTTTCTGATAAAATCTTCAGCAGACACATTAAAGAAGACCCCCTCAGGGTGTTCTTACTTCTTGAGCCATCTCATAATTGGCTGTCAGGGATCAGCCATGAGAAATTGCATATCTAAGGAGATGTTGGGGAAGCTTTGTTCCATATAACATGCAGCAAATCTCCGTTTGTACATCTTACAACACTTAAATGAAGACGCGTGCTGTAGAAAAGTAATGACTTCAGAGCTTCTGAAATCAAATTTGATTCAGTATCCAGTAGTAACCTAAAAGCAAATGTTATTTTTACCACCAAAGTGTCTTTATTTTTGAAAATGAACTTGAAACTTGCCTATTCAGGGTTGAGGTGATTGAAGCCGTATTAGTGCACTTGTGACAGAAACAATTGAGTACTATCCATGATACTTTTTTTTATTACCACTAACATACAATATTTCAGGACAAGTTTTCGGGGTGTGCCTCCTTCTTCAAGAGGAGTACTGCTTGGAACTTGAAGAAGGGGGCACATCCAAAGTTTGTCCTGAGAAGGAAGAGGAGCATTTACATTCCATGCAATTTCCTACTGCCCAATGGAGCTGATCCACACATTTGCTCTATCAGTTCTAAGTCAACACTGTGTCAGAGCTTACACTGAGCTACAGCTTACCCTCCCATACTCTCACATGGCAACACACAGGCCTGTGAGTGGCCGCTCAGACACTGAGCCCCGTACTGCGGTAATAAAGAGCATTTCATCCATGTGGGCCTCTACATACCAGGTTTTTGTTCAGCTCTGGCAGGCTAACAGGACAACAAGGAAGCACATGGCAGGTAAGTATGTGCTTCCTACTCTCCCTGCACAACACTTTGACTTTGTCCTGTATGAATAAAGCACAGGTTCCCTTTAAAATCCAGTATTGCAACACAAAATTTGATAACACTGAGTTGGGTTGAATGTACCTAATCCATGCATCCTTCTTTCCATCCATTGTCTCAGCCTCAGAAATAGCCCTGATTGCAGCTTTGGAAGGGAATGCTTGACTGTGAGAGCTTCCAATTGAATGATTCCGCTGTAGAGCACACTCAGACTGTAGCGTAGCCATCTAGCTGACTCAGACTATTACATCATTGCTTTAGCGGCAGGCAGGGAAAGAGGGGGCCTTGCAGGGCTCATTGGCTCAGGTGTTCCCTTGGCCGCTAAAGCTCATTACAATGCAGACGACGCCTCTAAACCGTCTGTATTATTCAAACAGGCCAGGCCAGCTTTGATACGATTTTGTGCGTGGGGGGGGGGATTATCTCATTCTGGCATTGGCACTGTCACACAGAATAAGAGCTGCCACCTGGACTGATAAAGAATAAGTGCATTAATTCCCTTTCCTTGCAATCCTTTCTATTAGCGTGATGCTTCTGATCTGAATCCTCCATATGTGGAAGAGCATTACCAGCCAGATTTAACTGGCTAACACTGATCCTGTTAAACTGTCATCACACTGCTCTTTGTACCTAAAGAATGACACGTTTTTTCTGGGAGCATGACAGTCAGATGTCATAGTTGCTAGGACTGTAAAATATATTCAAGGAATATATGAGACATATCTAAATTTGTAAGACACAATAATGAACACCTATAGGCATGACACTTTAGGATTAATCCAGAAACAATATTAAAGGTAAAGGCAGTGGTTCATGAGAGGAGTCACAAGATTCTCTGCTGCAGAGCTGTATCTACCCTAAGGCCAGTGACTACGACAGTAGGACTAGGAGGGAGCACAAAGTTCTTAAATGTACAAATTGCAACAACTTCCTCCTTACTTTGGACATTTCTAGCAGAACTGTAGCAGGCAGGGGGGTGTATGGTATTATGTGAGAATTAAGAAGCCTCTGTAGGCTAGGCTCACATCTTTACGTTTCCTGCTTGCTGCCTTTGAATGGACTGCTGTACCTCTGGGATATGCAGGGAGAAGGTCTCGGAACCTTTTTCCCAAAATGCACTTACAGTTCAACAAACATGAAATCATCTTTTATTTCTTATGTTAGGTGTTCTGTACAGTTGAAATGTGGCCTCCAAAAATTCTAGAAGCAGTTTTTACTAAAATTATCACAAGGGGCAGTGTCTGTACTAAAGGGCATCGTCAATGAGGAGTTCCTAGATTTATTATAATATATAAAATACAGGTCTACTGGGCTGAACAGGTAACTTGTAGTTTCCTTAGGCCAGTGGTGGGCAACCTTTTTTTTCAACTGAGCCAAATCTCGCCAAAACCACGATTGAAATTTATTTTGAGAGCCACATTTTTAAAACTGAAAATACATCCCCCATATAGTAATTCATCCCCCATATAGTAATTCATCCCCCATATAGTAATTCATCCCCCATATAGTAATTCATCCCCCATAGTAATTCATCCCCCTATAGTAATTCATCCCCCATAGTAATTCATCCCCCCTATAGTAATTCATCCCCCCTATAGTAATTCATCCCCCATATAGTAATTCATCCCCCCTATAGTAATTCATCCCCCCTATAGTAATTCATCCCCCTTAGTAATTCATCCCCCATATAGTAATTCGCCCCCCCTATAGTAATTCATCCCCCATATAGTAATTCATCCCCCATAGTAATTCATCCCCCATATAGTAATTCATCCCCCCTATAGTAATTAATCCCCCCTATAGTAATTAATCCCCCATAGTAATTCATCCCCCATATAGTAATTCCCCCCCCCCCTGTAGTAATTCATCCCCCCTATAGTAATTAATCCCCCATAGTAATTCATCCCCCATATAGTAATTCATCCCCCCATGTAGTAATTCATCCCCCCATATAGTAATTCATCCCCCCTATAGTAATTCATCCCCCTATAGTAATTCATTCCCCATATTGTGTCAATTCACTTACCTTTGCTCCGCGCGTTCCTCTCGCTGTGTTCCCGCCCCCCGTTCTGGTCTTCAGGGTGGACTGTGAGAGGAGAGGAGTTCGTCACGCTGCCCCGCCTACATCCTGGCTGCCCCGCCTACATCCTGACAGCTGCAGAGTCCTGACTTTTGGGGCGGCCGCCCGAGAGGAGGGAGGGGAGCGGGAGCCTGGCACACAGAAGAGCCGCATTTAAGTTTGTAAAGAGCCGCATGTGGCTCGCGAGCCGCGGCTTGCCGACCACTGCCTTAGGCCAACCATTCTCAACTATGGTTCCTCCAGTTGCTAGAAGTTCCTTGAACTATGACTGACTGACCTCCCATCTGATGGTGCCTCCTTGGTTCCAGGGCCAGCGCCACTAGGTAGAGCCAGCGACTAAATGCCAATTATCTTTATAGCTGTCTGGCTGTCCACTGGCCATCAATGTAAAGGGTCATTTTTCTAATCCCTTGATTCTTTTTTTTTTTTTTTTAGCAGGGGTTCCTAAGACTTAAAATTATTTTAGAGTTCCATTGAGAAAGGCTGCCTTAGGCTCTTGAATAGTGGTCTGTATTGTCCAAAGGTAACAATGTACATAAAGATTGGTACCACTAGGAGTGCATTCCACTATTCATTTCAGCAATAATGATTGTTTGGCAAAAAGGGTGCAGTCTTACAAAAGGGCTGTCATAATTCAGAAATGCTTTGGGCTATCATTTCTTTTAAGACAGCTATATGCTATTATTTTCAGTATTGGTTGTTGGCCACACTTTACTGGAGATATTGGGTCACACATGCAGTATCAACAGAGCAGGGAGGGAGGGAAAATCGATGGAGGAACTTCACTGGGCCGTCTCATAGTGGCAACCAATGTATTACACACAGTGGCCAATTTCCTTTTTCTTAGATTTAGGTGCAAGTCTCCTTTATGTATGGGGTTAAAATGTTCTGGATTATGTATAAAGCTGGAAAGGGGGGGGGGGGGGGTGGCATGATGAATATATAAATATGTGGATGTACACCGCAAGGAAGTTTTTCCCTTGTTAGACATTAGACAGAGTATATGTGACATTGCTGGAGGTATCTATGTCAATATGTTAGTATCAAGGCCCGATGTGCATTTTTCCATTTCTCTGACAACACATGTTCCTAAGAATACAGAAACAACCAGGAATATTTTATACTGAATTTGCTGCTACAGAGCAATAGTTAAATAATAAATATAGAAGATGGATTGATCAGTCTAGAAGTTAGAGGAAATGAGGTGGGAAAATGGTCTTTGGTGATTTTTCAGGACTTATTGAAGGGTCAGTCCACCGTTTTCAGTTTTGGATGAATGTTGAGAGTGTAGAATTACTCACTGGATATGTATATTTTTTGGTAACTTACATTGTGCTTGGAGTTACTTATGCCGACGGCCATTTTGTGTGGGTAGGGGGTGTGAAATGCTTGTAAAGTTTGAAGTATCTCAGAGCAATCATTATTCAAATCAAAGAGGAATTTTAATGTACATATTTGTTTTTTTCTAACCAACAGTTCTCAAAGGAAAAGTACATTTTGGATACTCCACCTGAGAAGCTGCACAAAGAGCTGGAGGAGGAATTAAAACTCAACAGCTCAGACTTGCGCAGCCATGCCTGGTATCATGGTCGCATACCTCGAGAGGTGAGTGGTGTACCCAAAGATGTTAGAGAAAGAAATAAGATATACCTGTGCTCAAATCCGAATAGCTTATTTATATATACCCCAACAGGTGCTGAAGGGCTGTTAATACAAAAAAATTCTGAATCAACCCTGTGCACACTACTATTTCCCTTCTAGCAAACTTTGCATAAAAACAGGGATTTTTTGTTCACATACATTACAATACATGTTTAAGCTGGCCAACTGCATCACAGTAATCCCTCTCTGGTCAGTCCCTACTCTACTCTGCAAAATGCAAATTCACTAGTGGATATAGTGCCATTATGGAGCAAATGGACACAGGTTGTAGGAGAGCTACAGGTTCAGGTCTGGTCACTGACCCGCAATGCAATAGAAATAAGATATACATGTGCTCAAGTCCCAATAACTTATACTGTACATACAGCATATGTTGTATAACTCATCAGGGGTTAAAGGGGTGTGACTACAAGTTAACACTACTAAAAATCTGATTAGGCCCTCTGCATACTGCTATGCACCCTTTCTAGCAAACTTTGCACAAAAACAGGGCTTCTTTTGTTCGCATCATTTCTGAGACAGCAGCAGAGGCCATTTGCTTACGCTGAGGTCAATCATAGTCAGTGAGCCATTGAAGAGAGAGAGAGAGAGGGCGGCGCCAAGTCACAGCTCTGTGTATGAATGGACACGCAAAGCAGTGGCTGGGGAGCAAGCCTGCTAGGGTGCCTCCATAGCAAATTGCATTTCATATCACTTCATAGCTGGCCAACTGTTGAACTGGATGGATTTGTGTCTTTTTTCAACCAGATTATCAAGGTAACTGGGTCAAATTAATCTCTCTCTCTGGCCAATCCCTTCCATTCCATGCAAAATGCAGATGATCCAATGTATATAGTGCCAGTATGGCACAAATACACACAAGCTGTAGGAAATCTACAGGTTTCAGGTCAAAGACATGAGAACTGTTGCAGCATGACTTCATACAGTGTAGAAAGTTCATGAGTACACATTTCTCTATTGCCACAGGTGTCAGAGAGTTTGGTCCAGAGAAATGGGGACTTCCTCATCAGAGACTCACTGACCAGTCTGGGTGACTATGTCCTGACCTGTCGATGGAAAAACGAGCCGCTACATTTCAAGATCAACAAAGTGATGGTGAAGACCAGCGACAGCTACACGCGGATACAATACCTGTTTGAGCAGGAAAGCTTTGACAACATCCCTGCCCTGGTGCGCTCCTATGTGGGCAGTCGGAAAACTGTGTCAGATCAGAGCGGGGCACTCATCTACTGCCCAATCAACCGCACATTCCCACTGCGATACCTAGAGGCCAGCTATGGGCTGTCACCCAGCCGGCAGGGGTCACACAGCCCACAGAAAGGACATATGAAGAGAAGAAGCATTACCATGACCGATGGGCTCACTGCAGACAAGATTACTAAGGCCAATGGGTGCCCAAACAGGTACAAACAGAAATTCAGTACAAAAACGTTTAGTAGCCACATGTAATTCTACTGCTTCAGTAAATGCGGTAGGCTTATGTAATTCCCAGTCCTTCAGCAATCTCAGAACTTCCTGAAAGCCCTCAGAAACAGCTTCTCAAGATAAAGAGCAGTTTTCATCAGTCAGGCAAAAAAAGGATGCACAACACAAGCCACAGGCATCCATATTGTGCTGGTATCTCCAAATAGTTTTTATTGATGTCTCAATCCCCACTTTCCCTCACTTTCCGTTTCACTGTCTCTAGGACAGAAAGTGAACGGGAAACCGCCAATGGAGATTTCGGCAACATTAAAACCTGACAGGTTCTACCACCACTGGCTTTTATTGCTACTGTATCTATGCTGGAGAGATTATCCCTCACTTTATATTTAAGTGACCGCCATCACTGGGATCAGAAAATATGGGAATCTTCCTTAATGACAGCAGAGGTTCCAATCCTTTCCAAAACAAAGTTCTGAAAGGTGTTCTACATAAAACCTACTGAACAATCATGGCAGCAAATATGATTTTAAAAGAATACTTAAAGTATAACTAAAGGCAAAACTTTTTTTTAGTTTTGGATAGAGTGAAGATGCGTTAGAACCCCTGTCAGTTTTGATTGCAGTCTGTTTCCCCATTAGGGAGATTCACCCTCTCTATTTGTTTGGTTTACCATTATCATTGAAAGTGAAAGAAAACCCCAAATTGTTGGTTGTCCCCAGAAAAATAATAGAGGGAAAATTATCCAATGGGGACACTAGTTCTGGTGACCTGGGGGTCCCCAAGTAATTCCCTTAATTTGCAGTAATTCCCTCTCACTTCTTGTTTTGGCTCTGGGACAGGAACTGAAGGTAAATCTCCTTAATGGAACACAGATGGCAAAAAATAAACCTTACAGGGATTATAACCCTCCATTACGCTATCCAAAATGCCTATAGTTCTACGTTAATCATAGTTTGTGATTAAGAGCACTTTTCTACAAAGCACAGAGGTTTGAGTCCTGGTTGCTGCTTTTTCTTGTAGCTGTTTGGTTGGTGAAAGTGGAAGGGTTTAGTCTTGTACTGGATGAGTCCCTTTTTGCTGTACTGCTACTGATATGTTTATGAGTACTGCCTACTGAGATTGAATGGTCAGCCAGTTTTGCTGTCTTTATCTCATTGGGGAGATATCCTTCACTTCCTGGTTCAAAGACACCACAGGAAGTGAGAAGACCTCTAGTGTCAGAGGAAATCCCAACACAGATGTTTCATTTGCAAGATGTCTCATCTATTCATTATACATTGACAACTGTTAAATGTTGGATTTCCTATTACTGTCTGTCCTAGTGATAATGGTCACTATGACCCATAGAGAGTGAATCTCAGAAGAGGTGACACCTAATGCAATAAAAAACCTAACGGGTTTATAAAACTTCTACACTCTACCCAAAACTAAAAAAAAAAAAAAAAAAGTTTTGACTTTAGATATACTTTAATTAAGGCAAGGAAAAGATGTGTCTAAATGGTAAGAACTGAAATTGATTAGTGACCAGAAATAGATACAATTCAAGTAACAAGTTTCCAGGGCCAAATCTCCAGAACTGTGGGCTGTGCAGGCGATATGAATCCAATCATACTTATAGTGTTGTAAGTAAGGAATTGATGATGTAATTCATAACATTTGTTCTATTTTTCTCTTAGCACATCCTCTCCACATCACAGAGATATCATCAGGAGCTGTGCAGTCAGTGTGGACCAAATCCAGGATTTGCACTCCCCAATGTCCCCCATTTCTGAAACCCCTGGATCCCCAGCCTATAGTACAGGTAGGAAAAAAGGCTGGTAAGGGAAGATGGCAGGACAAAGCCCAGGCAAATAGCCCTTTAGACTTTTTGGGTAATAAACAAAAAAATAATCATTGCTTACTAACAGCAATCTTTTGCAATTGTCAAAAAATTCCAATATGATCAGATCACTTCACTGACTTGGTTATTTACCGTGCAGATATTCTGAAGTCTATACATCCAGAAAATCACATCATTAAAACAGATCATTTTACTGTTTTAGTGCATTCCTATGTGTATATGATGCTTCTCTACTATCACATTACATAGGGTTAAAGCATATAGTACCTCATGACAGCTAATATGAATTCAGCATTTAAGATGAGAATATTTAAAGCTGATTTCTGATTGGTTACCTTGGGTTATTGCACACAATTTTTGCGCTATTGTTATTCAGTAATACTGATTGTATTTAATGTGCTTGCTCGCACCTAAAGGACAACTCTGAGCGACAGTTCAGAGTCTGCTGGGGCCGTTGACAACAGATTCAAGATTGTGGCACCCAGCAACAGTCCCAGGATCTTTGGACGTCTACAAACAGCTTTTTAAATTAAATAACATATTTAAAATACATGAAATGTAAATCTTATGGGATGATTGTTGCTGAAATCAGCTGTCTGGTGACAGGGTCTCTTTTAAAGAATCAGTCCACCTAACTGACATATCAGTTTTTGATGAATACCAAAGCAGTAAACCACTTTTCAGTTCATTATATTTCTTGGAGGATGCAGTACTGATACCTCTGAGGTCCCAGGTCTACATGCCTATTGCAGCCATTTTGAGGGGCTTCCATTTTCACAGTTTGTTATTTAATTTATTTTATATTATGGAGAATGCAACAGATGTTGTGGGCAGGAATATCCAAAAAGTACCAGGAACTATGGCAGGGAAGTCTTATTGCTTTCCAGAGAATTGAAAGCAATCAGCTGGTGCCCCAGTTTACCAGATATTTACCAGAACGGTTATTCATTTGGCGTTAGTTACTAAGTTTTTTTCTTGACAATATGTGTAGACATTTATTCATACATTTTCTTCCTATACTATACAGTTTGTATTAAGTTCTTTTTTTTTATGTATGCAGTTGTCCGGGTGAAGCCCCAAGGAGCTCCAGTAGTAAATAATGTGACACCTGGCTCTCCTGTGCTGAGACGGTCCAGTGAACCCTACGTCTGCCCAGCAAACAACAAAGCTGCTTTAAAAACATGGCTGAAAACAACCATTCCTCACCAAGTCATGGGTACCCTCAAATCTCTCCTTCCCCCTCTATAAACAGTTATAGTGACCCGGACAATGCGCATTACTGCCAGCTTCGCCCAGCTTCCCCAACACACGATACCCCCAGCAAAACCCTTCCACCCAAGAGCTATGTTGAGAGGTTAAAAGTGGACGAGGGTGCCCGCGCAGGGGTGAACCGTGGGGTGGAGGACCCTGATAAGGACAAACTGTGCTTTACTATCCCTACTGTAGAGGCCAAATCTTTTTTCAACCCATCGAGCTTCAAGTCCACACTGATCCCCCCAGACAACAAGCCCCTGGAGATGTGTATACTAAAGAAGGTCAAGGAGCTCTTCTCTGAAGTTGATGCCAAAACCATTGCCAAACATATCACCAAAACAGACTGTGAGGTAAGAGTGATGCAAGGAACATATACTGAATACTGATATTATAAGCCACTTCATTACGTACACCTATTTAATTGCTTGGTAACACAAAGTGCTAATCAGCCAATCACATGGCAGCAACTCAATGCATTTAGGCATCAGCACGTGGTGTAGACGACTTGCTGAAGTTCAAACCAAGCATCAGTATGGGGAAGAAAGGGGATTTAAGTGACTTTGAACATTGCATGGTTGTTGGTGCTAGATGGGCTGTTCTGAGTATTTCAAAAACTGCTGATCTATTGGGATTTTCACATAAAAGAATTACAGTTCCATAATACCTTTAAATTTAGAGTGTGCCCCCCCCCCCCAGAGCTCATTATGCTAGAATTCCTATACAAATATGTACTTCAGAATTCAGTATATTGGCATTTTTCTCTTGTGGTGATGCCTGGGCCTGGCAATACGTGACACAGGTCCCAAGGTCTGTGAAATTGTGGAGGGGATGAAACTTTACTTCCTATACCTAGAATATGGTTTTCTCAGCAGGAAATTCTCGGGGAATACACGTCCCCAAAGGTATGACGTGGTCCATTATGTTGTTTGCTATGCAGTTTTGGCTTAGCTTGTATTACTTGAGAACTTAAAATTGTGGGCTTGCTTCTTGCCTAGCAGTTCAATAATGTGTCTTCTTGTTCTTCTATTTCAATTCTCTTCACTGGTCATATCTGACTAGCTGCAAACTATGCACACTCAGTATAGATGAGGTTTATCTCAGCTGTTGTTGAGCATAGAGGCTGACTGATTGCAGTGAATTTCAGTGTGAATCTACTAATCTAAAATAAGGTGCAGCATGCACATAACAAAGTAAAAGTTTGAATGAAGATTTACAATAAAGGAAGCCTGTACTCAGAGAAATACAGAGCCTAAGGTGAACATCGTGGTAATAGCTCATTTTATCTGATTGCTGAAATAACACAATTGTCTCCCTTTAAAAATGTTTGGTTCGAATAATAATTGTTTTTCATTAAAACCAGCTTATGAGCCATAGTTAGGGGGCCTTTAAGCTAGAGCGGAGTTCTTTTTTTACATATATATAAATATTAATCAAAGTGGCATCATGGCTTCAGGCTGACTGATCTTTGTTCCAGTCCTAAATAAAGGTTAACGCTAATGAAGTCTCAAAGTGCTACGATATTTATATCCGCTGCAATGATGTCACCATGACATCACCTTATTCTCTTGGCAGTACAGCCAGATTAAAATGCCTGCCATTAATGTGTTTATTGTTGTGCCCTCTAGGGATGCTTCCTTCAAGATGAGGCGACAATCTATTTCCAATTAGGAGAGATTAATCTCCATCTTCACATTGCTTTCAGGTTGCCAGGATACTCGGTGTTACCAAGGAGATGCAGAGGATCATGGGAGTCAGCTCAGGCATGGAGCTCCTAACACTGCCGCATGGCCGCCAGCTGCGACTTGACCTTCTGGAAAGGTGTGTGGAGAACAGAGGTAGAGGCTTGTGTCATTGCAAAATGCAGCGTCATACTGGATGCAAATGACAAAACAAAAAGTCACCCCCAATTAAACAGAACAGGCCATGGGTCCTGGCACAACATGACTAATACCGGTGAACTGTTGGTAATACTGACCTCCCTCCCCTGCACTCAACCACTTCTCCGTTCATTCTTCAAAAGCATCTCCTTCCCCCCTCCTCTTTACAAAATGTCACTTTTTTTGGGGGGGTGAGGGAGCAGGTACCTGGTTTTGACAGGTACCTGCTCCCACTTCTGCTCTGGTTTTGACAGGTACCAGCTCCCACTTCCGCTCTGGTTTTGACAGGTACCAGCGTCTCCTTCTTCCCTCCTCTTTACGAAATGTCACTTTTTTTTTTGGGGGGGGGGGGGGGTGAGGGAGCAGGTACCTGGTTTTGACAGGTACCAGCTCCCACTTCCACTCTGGTTTTGACAGGTACCAGCGTCTCCTTCCCCCCTCCTCTTTACGAAATGTCACTTTTTTTTGGGGGGGGGGGTGAGGGAGCAGGTACCTGGTTTTGACAGGTACCAGCTCCCACTTCTGCTCTGGTTTTGACAGGTAACAGCTCCCATTTCCACTCTGGTTTTGACAGGAATCTGCTCCCACTTCCACTCTGACCACCTAGGCGATCCTAGTGGAAGTTCTCCTCCCCCCTCCTTCTTGCAGTCTTCTGGGACACATCACTGGTCCCAGAAGACTGCAGGATCATTCACAAAGCACAGGGCAGCTCGCACATGCACAGTGGGAACCCAGCTGTGAAGCTGTCACAGCCGGGTGACCATAATTGAATGCCGGGGACAGGACACTGATGGAAAGAATGGCTCGGTGAGCACATTGCTGGATCCTTGGACAGATGTGTGTCTATTTATTAAAAGTCAGCAGCTACAGTTTTTGACTGGAGCTCCTCTTTAAGGAGAAATAGCTGGTACATATGAGGATGATGGAGCTTTTTGACTGTTTTTTCCAATGATGTAACTTTTGGTGCCTGAGCAGCCAACAGCCAAGCCATGGTCACATGGGGTAAGGAGGGAGTCCTTAGCCCTGTGTAAGCTCCCACAGATTGACTTGATGTCCACATGGGGCTCTTTGGAGGTGAAAGGGATATGTAGGGGATGATACTGTATATCATACAGTGGAACAAATCTGGCACATAGGGGCTTTAACTACATACACAGCAATTATATCTTTATCATTTACCAGATTGGATCTGGATCACTTTCAGGGCACAAAGATGAGACACATACAGATAAATAAAGATAGAGAGAAAGCCGGAGAGCCTATTTAATGAATGCAAAAATAAACTAGATTCTCCCAGAAAACTTGCTTAATTCTTCTCTGTGGACTATAGAATACCTCACCCCTATGTTACGGTCATGGGAAGATGTTCTTTAAAATAAAACATTTTTGGCTAGAGATATACTTTAATGTGAAACTGTGCTTTCTCCATCCATATCAATATTCAGATGGAAACAACGTGACACCCCTTTCCAACATGGTCCATGGAGACCATGATGGTGGACTCTCCCAGTTACACAGTGAGGTTGCACAATCAAATTGTAGGGTGTGTGGTGAGCTGAATTTTTTAAACATTACCATACAGACCGAGACCAGTGATATTGCATGTATTCCCATGGTCACCAATCAGGGGGGAAGAACTGATTACATGGGAAGGATTTTTTTGGACAGTCACTGTCGTTCCCCTGAGATAAATACAGAGCTGGAGAGATGCACACAGGGTATAAACATATACATGACTGTCCGTATTTATACCAGAATCCTGTGCAGCCATTGGATTTTTTGATCATCAAATGTTTTGTAGTTTATAATCCAAACCCTAACCATGATTCCACCCAATGGTTACAGGTAGCTCACTTGTATGACAGATGGTTGTAACCTATCTGCATTGCTCTACAGATTTCACACCATGTCTATCATGATCGCTGTGGACATCCTGGGCTGCACAGGAAGTACGGAGGAGAGAGCTGCTCTGCTTCATAAGACCATACAACTGGCAGCTGAACTGAAAGGCACTCTGGGAAATATGTACAGTTTTGCGGCTGTAATGAACGCCTTGGAAATGTCACAGGTATAGAGAACATGAACTTACAAGAATAAAAAACACACCTCATCAGGTTTTCATACTTTTGCTTACAGTTTTGTGATGGATGCCATTTTACAATGTATCAACAAATAGCGTACAAGAAAAATAAACTCCATTTTCATGGAACTAGATTTGCAGCCAGGTAGACGTTGTACCAACAACCACTAATTTCATAATCTTACCTCCACTTTCCTGTTACAGAAGTTGTGCAGGATGTCTAAATATGACACAAAAGTTATACGTATTGCACACATTAATCAGCACTCAGTAACAGAGCTGGTTGGATGCACTACTCCCCTTCTCTGCATTATTAGCCTCTGTTAGGACACTTGTGCTGAGGGGTGTGCCTGTTACCTAGCTCTGCCAGGACAAAGCACTGCAGTATGAGGCTTGGACGCACTATTTCATTGAAAATAAATCATATTTTAAAGCATTTTAAGGAAAAAAACAAACAAATAATAACATGGAGTATACCTGGTTATAAAAAGCATAACTACAGGCAAACAGCTGAACTACTTAATGCGAAGTGCTTTGCCCGCTAGATTAATTTTAATTCTGTTCAGGCAGCTTTGTGATTTTGGCAACCCTTACCAGACAATGCATACAGGTCCTGGGCCTTTTCATAAATCAATTGCAGGTGAGCAATGCACTGGCCTGAGACCTACCCCAGGCTGTGATTGGACAATCAAGGAGCAGCAGCACATCGATGAGGTGACTACTCTGCTCTTTAAGCTGGGTAGCCACTGTGCATTGTAATAGAGCACTGATTTTCCTGAAGTGAGTAATAAACACCCAGGCAGCAAAAATATATATTTTTCTTGTAGAGTGGAGGCTGGCTAAAAACCATCAGCTTTTTTTTTTGCTATGTTTGCTTTTTCCTCATTTGTTATCTGGATGACAAATACATTACTGAAGTTCTATGATTATGTCACAAGTCCCACAGGCTTGCAATATAGGTGCCTAGGACTGCCCTGGGCTTTTAAGGAGCCCGGCAGTGTCTATACCTCACTATCCAAAACTTACAAAATAGTTTTGGCTGGAGTTGGACTTTCACCCTAAATAATGTCTTATTATGTAAAGTAAATAATAGATTTCTCCCATCTCTTACATCAGATCATGTCAAGTTGTGTTTTCTTTCTTCTTAGTCAGAGCTGACAGATAGCCGTATTTTGCTATCTTTAATCATGGGAGAGCTGGAGCAGGGCCAGGATATAATGTGGCTCTTTTCATTTGGTGTCCCATTTTTAAACTGGTGAGGGAGGGAGGCTGTCCACACATAATGAGGCCTCCTGCCTGCTCTATTATTGCCTGGAAGGAAATGATGCTATAACACAGCCAGATTAATGTATCTTCTACAGGCAGCATTATAAAGTGTTTGCTTCTCGCTCTACAGATCTCAAGACTGGAACAGACATGGGTTACCCTGAGACAGAGGCACACAGAAGGGGCCATCTTGTATGAGAAGAAACTCAAACCATTTCTCAAGAGCATGAATGAGGGCAATGGTAATTACATAGTCATCTTGGTCCAAGCCCCCACATACTGTACGACCACATTTAAAGCTGAGCTCCAGCCAAAGTGTTTTACTAAACAAAGGGATTAGTAATTGTCCACAGCTAGTCTTTTGATGTAGGCACCCTGCCAGATAGCAAAGACAGGTCCTGGGTCGCCAGTGCAGTTGTAAACAGAAACCAATCAGCTACTCCCTTTCTCCCATATCACAGTGGGAGAAAGACAGTAAGCTCTAAGAACAATTCTAATTTAGGAATTCTGACCAACAGAGCTGTGAAAAGTTCAGGTATCTTTAGATATTCTAGCTCAAACCTCAGTTTCAGCAGCAAGGCGGCTTCATTTAAGTCATAAAAGGTTCCATATTGCCAGGAAGAGGATTTATCTGAAAGTGATACTAAAGGCTGGGTTTTTTACATAATATAACAAAAGATGTTATACTTACCTACTTTGTGCAATATCCAAAGGATATTGCACAGAGCAGTCCCATAGCTCTTTTTCTGGGGTACTCCACTGGCGCTATCTGCTCCTCCTCTTCTGAATGTGCCCCTATAGCAAGCTTTGTGCTATGAGGGCACACATGCGGGCACACTTCCAAGTCAGACTGTGTGCATCCATAGACACACACAGTGCAGATCAGGATCGCCCCCTCACTCTCTGCTCACTGGATCTTACTGACAGCAGCAGGAGCCAATGACTCCTGCTGCCATCAAAACCTCTAATGAATGGGCACAGTCATAGGTAAATGTTTAAATGGGGGCTGGGTTTTTAAATGGGGGCTGGGGGGAGCTGCTATTGAAAGGTATTTTTTTTACCTTAATGCAGAGAATGCGTTAAGGTAAAAAAACATTTTAACTTTAGAACCACATTAGTGGTTCAGTGATGTCGTCATATCTTTGCTTTACAAATGTGTTGTGTGCTATGCTGACTTTGGGACACTTAAGCCAAAGGAAGTAAGATATACCTGTTCTCGAATCCAAATAGCTTATACATATCTATAACCCATCAGGTGCTAAAAGGGTGTGACCACATGTCAACACAAAAAATTCTAAATACACCGTTTCTAGCAAACTTTGCACAAACACGGGCATTTGTTAAGTTCACATACATTGCAATACATGTTTAAGCTAATTGCATCAAAGTAATCCCTCTCTGGCCAGTCCCTACACTGCACTGCAAAATGCAAATGCTCCAGTGGATATAGTGCCAGTATGTAGGAGAGCTACAGGCTCAAGTCTGGTCACTGATCTGCACTGCAGTAGAAATAGGATGTACCTCTATGTAAATCCTATTAGCTTACATATTACATACATATACAGTATATAATCCTTCAGGTGCTAAAGGGGTGTGACCACATGTTAACAATAACATTTTGTGAATGGACCCTCTACATACTGCTACACACCTTTTCCAACAGTCTTTGCACACAACAGGGATTTTTAGTTCACATACATTGCAGTACATATTTAAAGCTGGCTAACTGCGTAAATGTAATCCCTCTCTGGCCAGTCCCTATTCTTCTCTGCAAAATGCAAATGCTCCATTGGGTATAGAGCCTTCCTATTTTGTTACTTGAAGTAATTTACATGGAAATTTCTCTTTACAGCATCACAGACAATAGAAACCTGATAGAAAGTTCTGACTCTTTCCTATTCTATCCAAACCTGAAAAAAAGGTTTAGGCTGGAGTATTAAAACCAACAAAGAGAAACATATCAAATTATGGTGAGGTTGCCTAAGGAACAAAAAAAACCTACAAAAATACAGAGAACGATACATTTGCTTTTAAAAAATAAAAGTTATCATCGCTTCTACTCCACATCTAAAAAGCTTGGGGTTTAACCCTTATTTCAAGATAACGAGCAAAGGCATGCCGATACATCAATGCTGTAGTGTCCACTATGAAAGAGATATGTAATGTCTGTGCTCCAGAATGTCTTTGTACATAAGGGAATTTTTGAATAAGCCACTTGTTTTACCTACACCCTCCCTTCCAGTGGTGTGGACATTGTTTTTGAAAATCCACAGCATATTAACATTGAGATCATCAAGATGAGTCATTCTGCAATTGTTTTTATAGAGAAATGACTTGTGTACTTATAATAATGAGAAGTATGAAAACTATGTTTGGATCTTTGAGATTCCCATCTTACCATAGTTACAAGAATTTTGGATTTATTGCAGAGAGCCTCCCACTGAGCAATACAACCTTCCCGCACACATCATCCTCTCATCACTCTTCTGGAGCGAGATGGCCCTCTGCTAGATGGAGGAGAACCCTGGGATAACATTGACAGTGGTGTAGAAGTGGTGATGGCTCACCTGGAAGCAGCCAGGATGGTGGCACATCATGGAGGCCTGTACCGGACCAATGCTGAGATGAGGCTACAGGGTAAGCCAGCATAGGTGCAATTTTCTGAAACTTAGCTAGTTGTACCTGGAGGGGTTCAATGTTCTCCATGCACTGTAGTAAGCCAAGAAGGTCCCAACATCTTGTTGCAATGATTAGAACCTTGTTCGTAATGTTCTACGTTGGAATATCACGGTATAATAATACGTTTCACTTAACTCTATTGATTTTAATGCTAAAACCAAAGATTGGAACATTTTGAGGTGTTTTCAGGTTCTACACATCACAGAATATTTACACTTACCAATAGCAGAAAAAGCCTAATTTAATTAATAGAAAAACACATTCAAGGGCGGTGTAGGAGTAGTAGACTAGTAGGAGAAACTCCAGTGGAGACATCTTACTGCTGGAGTTCCCAATATATATGAGAGAGCAGTGGGTTATGCAATTTACTAGTATCCACACAAGACATCATTTGTAGGCCAAGATATATCTACTCAGATATGAAATGGCTGTGATGGAAGATTCAGTTACCTGTGGACCACTTTAGCTCTAGTATCACTGTTCCTGTTGTCTCCTTTTCTCCTAAATATATGAAAGGTCATTACTGCCCCACAATGCTTATTAATGTGATATCCAATAGCATGGATTGGCTTCTGTAGATGAAACCTGCAGTGAACAGGAAGTCTTGGGTATCCCAGTCTGTCCATGTACAAACAGGTTAAAGCAGGCCATAGACAGTTTGATTCTCTGCTGATAAAATCAAAAAGTAAAACCACCAAGCTACCAACAAATTTATGTATCTACGTGTAAATCTAACACCAAATCATATAATACAAATATATATCAATACACATACATATCTTGTTGCCACTATTCACTGTTATGTGTTCCCACACAAAGAACCATATAAACAATAAAAAAGTGGAGCTCAACTGAAAATACTATATCATATACAGTCAAGTCCATAAATATTGGGACATCAACACAATTCTAACATTTTTGGCTCTATACACCACCACAATGGATTTGAAATAAAACAAACAAGATTTGCTTTAACTGCAGACTGTCAGCTTTAATTTGAGGGTATTTACATCCAAATTAGGTGAATGGTGAGTAGGAATGACAACAGTTTGCATATGTGCCTCCCACTTGTTAAGGGACCAAAAATAATGGGACAATTGGCTTCTCAGCTGTTCCATGGCCAGGTGTGTGTTATTCCCTCATCCCAATTACAATGAGCAGAGAAAAGGTCCAGAGTTCATTTCAAGTGTGCTATTTGCATTTGGAATCTGTTGCTGTCAACCCTCAAGATGAGATCCAAAGAGCTGTCACTATCAGTGAAGCAAGCCATCATTAGGCTGAAAAAACAAAACAAACCCATCAGAGAGATAGCAAAAACATTAGGCGTGGCCAAAACAACTGTTTGGAACATTCTTAAAAAGAAGGAACGCACCGGTGAGCTCAGCAACACCAAAAGACCTGGAAGACCACGGAAAACAACTGTGGTGGACGACCGAAGAATTCTTTCCCTGGTGAAAGAAAACACCCTTCACAACAGTTGGCCAGATCAAGAGCACTCTCCAGGAGGTAGGTGTATGTGTGTCAAAGTCAACAATCAAGAGAAGACTTCACCAGAGTGAATATAGAGGGTTCACCACAAGATGTAAACCATTGGTGAGCCTCAAAAACAGGAAGGCCAGATTAGAGTTTGCCAAACGACATCTAAAAAAGCCTTCACAGTTCTGGAACAACATCCTATGGACAGATGAGACCAAGATCAACTTGTACCAGAGTGATGGGAAGAGAGAGTATGGAGAAGGAAAGGAACTGCTCATGATCCTAAGCATACCACCTCATCAGTGAAGCATGGTGGTGGTAGTGTCATGGCGTGGGCATGCATGGCTGCCAATGGAACTGGTTCTGTTGTATTTATTGATGATGTGACTGCTGACAAAAGCAGCAGGAGGAATTCTGAAGTGTTTCGGGCAATATTATCTGCTCATATTCAGCCAAATGCTTCAGAACTCATTGGATGCCGTTTCACAGTGCAGATGGACAATGACCCAAAGCATACTGCAAAAGCAACCAAAGAGTTTTTTAAGGGAAAGAACTGGAATGTTATGCAATGGCCAAGTCAATCACCTGACCTGAATCCGATTGAGCATGCATTTCACTTGCTGAAGACAAAACTGAAGGGAAAATGCCCCAAGAACAAGCAGGAACTGAAGACAGTTGCAGTAGAGGCCTGGCAGAGCATCACCAGGGATGAAACCCAGCGTCTGGTGATGTCTATGTGTTCCAGACTTCAGGCTGTAATTGACTGCAAAGGATTTGCAACCAAGTATTAAAAAGTGAAAGTTTGATTTATGATTATTATTCTGTCCCATTACTTTTGGTCCCTTAACAAGTGGGAGGCACATATGCAAACTGTTGTAATTCCTACACTGTTGACCTGATTTGGATTTAAATACCCTCAAATTAAAGCTGACAGTCTGCAGTTAAAGCACATCTTGTTAGTTTCATTTCAAATCCATTGTGGTGGTGTATAGAGCCAAAAATGTTAGAATTGTGTCGATGTCCCAATATTTATGGACCTGACTGTATAAGTGAATGTCTTCTGAAAAAAATATACCATTTTTTCATCCAAAAAAAGTACTATATATAATCCCAAACACATAGATAAAGTGCAAAACCATGTTATAGTAAGTAATAAGTCTCTGTGACAACCAAAAGTCCAGATAGATGTCTTCTGAATATTATTATAACTCCACCAAAATATATGTTACCCCACACACAAAGTGCAAAATGTTCCACCACTGTGCACCATCACCTGTCTCCAGTGACTCTTACCTCCAAAGTATAACCCACCACACGGTGAAAGTCACAATGCACCTTCCACTTTGTTGAATCACCATTTACCATATCAAGGCAGGCTAATGTACCCAAGTTCATTGATCGATCAACTTGGGTACAACCAGCCTGTCCGATTTTACATGCGAATATTGCTAGTGGCTAATATAGCCGCTAGCAGTAATCATTCTGTTCTCCCAGCAGGGACGGTTCCCCCCCCACTGGGAGAGCACAATGGCTCCATGGGAGGGATCCCCTTATCAACACTGACTGTGGCTGCAGGAAAGAAACTTGCTCCATCTATGGCCAGCTTTAGTCTCCAATCTGAGTTATAAACCAGCCATACAATGTTAGAAATTCGGCCAATTCAGATGAACTGTTCAGTCGATGCAATCACTGATTGGGTATTCTGACAGCCAGCACTAACAACTCTCAGGATACAATAGCCTGGCAGAGGAAATTCGTCCATCCGTGCCATTTGTGTGAATGGAGGAATCTGTTAGATTTCTATTGTTAAGCCTACAGGCCAGCTTTGCTCTACAACACCAACTGATAGCTGAAGTCCTGATTCCTAAATCTAATGGATATCTGTAGCTAATAAGTAGACAATTAATATTTCTACAATGAGGCCTAGGAGGTTTAGGTCTTTCATTTACACCCAGTATTGTGCACTGAACCCTACAAGCACCACCATCCATCTGTCCTAACCATACAACTATTTATATGTACTAGAAAAATTCTGTCCCTCAAACACATTTCATAGGTATCTGACATGTGAGCGTGTCACCTGTCTTCTGTGTCTAGTGATGAGCCATTGAGCTAATGCATCTCTGCAGCTCTCATTAATTACTGATGGTTATCATGCTGACTGCTGTGACACATACATGCATAAAGTCACCATTTATCAAGGCTGCTCTACAGGCTGACTCATGTCTGTATAATCAGCTATGACTTCATACATGGCTGCAGTATATTAAATAGCCTGCCCTCCCAGCCAGCGCAGCATGAATGCACAAGTCCAGCTTCGCCTGGTACAACAATGGTTTATAGGAGGAAGGTCAGAGAGCCACAAAAACCCTCAGAGGTCAATTCCTTCCCAACTCTACTAGTGTTCTAGTTGCAGAAAGTTCCCATCAATGCCTGTCCCATTTGCAGGGGGTCACCAGAACAGGAAGTGAGCAGATATCTCTCCAACATGTACAATCCGACTGAGGTCCCACTCCTTCCTCACTCTACATACAAACAACACTTTTTAGCATATATTTGTCATTTCTGGTGTAGACTGTTGCCTGATTGTGTGTTTTCCACCCCTGAACAGGTTTCCACCCCAGATCGGACCTCCTGGAGGTCTCCAGCACAGAGTTCCAAATGCGAATGCTGTGGGGCAGTCGAGGAGCAGCAGGCAGCCAATCCGAGAGATTTGACAAATTCGATAAAGTCCTCACCGCGCTGTCACACAAACTGGAGCCCTCAGTGCGCTTCAGTGAATTATAACGCAGCACCTGGAGATGGAGACTGAAACGCTGTAACGGAAGGACATCAAAGGGATAAAACATGCCCAAACAATGCATCTCAGAGACTTCTTTGAGGAGAAAAAAATAGCACTTTTCATTGGCGTCCGTCGTGGGGGCTGATATTTTGTTGCAGTGCATGCTGGATCTTATCAAATTCCAGAAGAAAAATGGCTGCACTGTATGTATTCATTTAAAGATAATTATATGTGGGTTAGTCCTGACCAATATTTTACATTTTTTTATTATAAATCCAAACATTTGGCCGCTACGGGGGCTCTGGTGTAGACAGGAGGTTAGCCCTGGACAAGTGCAATGTCTCATTGTACATAGCACTGTAATGTCATAGAGTAAAGGCTATGGACAGCAGAGCTTGTGACCGATCATACCGGATTGGAGGTCATCCAATCAGAATGAAAACGCTTAGGTGGAAGGGGGAGGTGCTTGTGGGTGCTGCGGGGTCTATGTATGCGCAATAGAAGTAAGCCTCATTCCTATAAGTCACCACAGACTCCAGAGACCGCACTCAGCATTCCTCTCAACTATCATTTTTGAGGACTAAACTCATTTTGAATGGTTGGTGACTGCCTGACTGTTGTGAAAAAAATGTATCAGGTCATCCTGGGACTTGTAGTTCCACAAGGCCTGGTTGCCCATAAACCGATCAAACTGCCATACCCCTACTAAATGCCAAATATGATACAAAACTGTAGAATCTCTGTATCCCTCCTTATATTCCTGACAGCAGTCAAAATGCACTGTCCCCACCACCACCCCAAAAGAGAAAAAATAAATAAAAGAAGAAAAAAAAATACACTCTCAAAACAGTGTCAAAACCTAGGTTTATATCGCTCTGTACCAGAGATTTGTTTGAATTGCTTAGCAGCAAGATTAACCGCTTTTTAACAATGGCCATACATGTACAACACTATTTCCATCTGCCAAGAAGGGGAAAAAAATGGGACCCCATACTGTGAATGTACAGACTACTACATCTGGTCTATATGTGTGTGACGGTATAAACATGGATTGGGCGCCATCTAGTAACCATGAAAGGAATGACAAGTACACAGATGAGGCTTGTTCTACACTGGGGTCTTTAAGCGGAGTTCCAGTCCCCATACATTTTTTTTTTATTCCCCCGTAATTATTACAACCTGCAGTTAAATATGAGACTACTGTGAAGTATTATATCATGCTCGTTATGTAAATAATCAAAATTTTCTTACAAAGACCTTGGAAGCAAGCAGGTTCCATGATGGATGTGGGCATCTGAAGCCCGCTACTGTACACTTCCTGGATTAGGTGCTGCCGGCTATCCCAGCATGCACCTCTCGATCTCGCAGTAAGGACACTGCGTGGCGCAAGTTTAGAACATGGGATGCTCGTTGATTCCTTGGATTGATGACTCATCAATCCCAGGTAACAACGTGTGGCTGGAGATGACGTACCTTGCCATGACGAGGTACAACGGAAGTACTTTTAGTATGGCTAAAAAAAGTATGTAAACATCTACAAAAAAAAAAATCCCAAACTATATATGGACAACAATCAGGAAAACTTAGAAAACAACTTTAAAAATAGGGTGGAACTCCACTTTAAAGTAGAATTCTATGTTTAATTTCACTTTAAATAGTTCATAGTTCCCTTCTACAGTTCAATAGTCATTTTCAACTTAAAGCAATGAAATGGACATTTCACAAAGTGTAGCATATGTATAGTAAAATAAATAGACAGATGATGGCAGAGCTTATTGGATATTGTGACACCCATCTATATGCCAGCCAAATATCACAGGGGGGTTTAATGAAACGGTCAGTGAAATGACTTCACTTCTGCTATTGTTTAATGGATGGCTGATGGCACTCCAGTAGGAAAAGAAGAATATATTATATTGTATAGATAGCAGCAGCTAAATCTCATTACTGAACAGTAAGACATAGGACCAGCTATCTATTACTGCAGAGAGCGGCGATGTTCACCTAACCTCCAGCAGCCAATCACATCAGATCTTTCAGCAATATAGTAGAAACAGAAATATAAGATGATTTAGTGGTGAAAACATCATCCAAACATTTTTTTTGGATAGAGTTGGGGATGGTCAGTTTTTTTGTGTCCTGACCGGGGAGATTTACTCATTGTTCACAGGAAAGAAAGCGAAGGGAAATGAAATGTTAGCGTTGTCACAGGTACAGGAACTGAGTGCAATTCAAAGATACCTGTCAAAGGCCAGATTATCACTTATTTGCAGAGATTTCCTTGCACTTCCTTGCTGTGTGTCTAGGATAGGGATTGTGGCAAAATCTCCCAGTAGGGATACAAGCAGCAGTAGGAACCTGACAAATATTCCAACCCATCCCAACTCGATCCAAAAGTTGAAAAAAAAATGTCTGGAGTTCTGCTTTAAACCAGCCAGCATTATTAGATTATAATGGGGACCATGCACATCGGGAAGCCTAAAATATTGACTATTCTTTAAGTCAGGTCCAAAGCTTGTCCTATTCCCAACACATTCCCAATGTAATGGGGAGTGCCTATCAATACGTTGCTAAGGCACCTGAATTGCACTGTAATTGGGTGGGCAAGGAGGGAGGGGGGTTGTCAGTAATTGTGCAAAATATGAGCCCTACATTAGGATCTTCCTTCACAGAAATGTAAAGCTGAACTCCAGAAAGACGCACATTGCAGCTTTATATTCTGGATTGCATTATTAAAAGAAGAAGTTTCTTTTTTTAAATCATACTGACCTAGGTGTTTGCAGCATTGACCCAATGCTGCATCTGTCCTCCGCTGCTTCTAAGACCGCTGATCGCTCAGTTCTTAGCCTTCACTGAGCAGAGAGCCATGACTGTACCAACTCTCTACTCTGCCCCCCAGTGCTCACAGGAACACTGGGCTGTGGAGGGGGTGGAAGTGGCTGGCTCAGGCTCTCAGCAGCTTGCTAAGAGGCTGAGCCAGATGCCAGTCCAGGCATCTGGGTGGAATCCTGACTTTAAAGTTGGGATCTTTCCCCAGCCTGACCATCGGTTGAACACAGGACGCAGCAGTGCAGAACAAACTGCACTTTTGTGATCCAGCTTTGGCTTTACTTCTCCTTCAAATGTATCTTTTAAATGCAACCAGTGTAAGCATCTGAAACACCTACAACCCCTGTACAGTAGAGCTCAGACTGGGAGAGGCAGAGGCATCACATGGACCCAATCATTTGTGCTAACAAGAAACAGGCTAATAGGAGGAGAGGGAAGAATGACACAGAGATGACCCTATCAGTTCCTACTTTTTCTTTTACTGTCCAATCACAGGTTGGGGGAGGGACAAGACCTGTATGTGTTAGTAATAATGTCTCCTGACCTGCCAGACAGGGCTGAGTAAATAGATTGAAATACAAATCCTTTGCCAAGTAAAAAAGCTCCCATATCTGTATATCATTTGTGTATTTAGCAGTGTGCCTGGAGTTCAGCTTTAATGTATTTGCAGACATTGGGGGGAGATTTACTACAACTGGAGCACTCAGAATCTGGTGTAGCTGTGCATGGTAGCCAATCAGCTTCTAACTTCCGTTTGTTCAATCAAGCTTTGGCCATAAAACCTGGAAGCCGATTGGTTTCTATTCAGAAGTGCACCATATTTTGCGCTCTCCAGTTTTAGTAAATCTCTCCTGCAGTATAGTACTTGTTATAACATAATAATGCTGGTTTACCAAAGTACACGTTCACTTTCAGGGTTTTTTTTAAAGGAAACCTGTAGTGAGGAATATGGAGGCTGCCATTGCTGACCTCTCACTCTGAAAATACTAGTTCCCTGGCTGTCTTTGTGATCCAATGGATGCAGCACCTCCTAAGTCATTGATTGGAACAGGTATGTAGATTAGGAGTTCTGCTTCATCCCCATCTCCTGGTCTGCACACTTGTCTTGGGTCAGGGGGCCAGCAATAGCAGTCTGTGTAGTTCTCCCAGTGAAGGTTTCCTTATAGGAGGTGGTGGATGTCTTTTAGTGGGGAAGTAGGATTGTAAAAGGACACAAAAGAACATGTTTGCACAAATGTACATAAATATATTGCCAACCACTGTACCATTGAAGGGTCTCAGTTATATGTCGTCCTGAAAGAGCTGTGAAGGTTGTCTTTATTTTACAAGCAAAAGAAGATGATTATATGGACTGCACATAATATCCAGGGACAGAAGTCAGCAATTCGCAGTAGGAGATCCATGTTCAAACATCGAGGTAAAGGAGAGATAAAGGCCCATCTCTAGTTTTTCTCATCTGATTGTCCAGTATGGGCAATACTTCTTCCTAAATCCAACATTCTGAATATAACCTGGATAGAGCTGCAGAATGATGAATGTCAGTTGCTGTATGTGTAGAGTAATGGTGTACATAGAACTCGGCGCTCCTATGTAAATAGTGGTGCACTGTCTGGTTGTACAGTCATTCACACCATCTCATTGTACATAGCCATGTGCTATTCATATCTATGTAAATAAATGTATTGATGTAAAACTCTGTGTGCTTGTACTTCTTATATACTGGACGGTAAGCAGCATTTCTATTAGGATGCTAAAGGAAACCTGTGCTGTATCCTTGAGGGGAAAAGAAAACAGTGTTCACTTGAGCCCCCCCCTTCATTGCCCAACAGGATAGCCACTTTACCACCCCTCTGTTCAGCATTTGGGAGTAAAGAGAGGAAGACATGTGTAAGCTCCAAGTTGTAACATAGAGCTTACACAGGGCTGGGGACTCCCCCACCCCCACCCCTATGGGACAGCACTGGGCCAAGCTAACAGAAGTTTTACCCATTCCCTACATGATCCAAAATTAGAAAAAAAAAAAAACATGTTTTGGCTTTAAATACGCTTAAAAAAAGGCTGGATTTAGTTGCAAATAGTTATATTCTGTGCATCTAAGAAAGAATCCAGGCCTTTTTTGAAGCAATCCACTGAGCTGGCCAGAACCAACTCTTGAGGGAGTCTATTCCACATTTTC